CAAGATGATTGCACTCCGACGATGCGGAACAGTTTGTAGTGTCCAGAAAGGCAAGGGAGAAAATCATTCACGAATACTACTGAGATATCTTCGATAGCCACGTCCACTTTCCGTCGTATGAAATAGAGGAGGATGGATATGTTGTACCACCGGTTCTCTCTTCCGGAATCCGATATGCGATTTCGTTGGTGAAAAATCGAAGAGCACTACATCCGGACAGGATAACATCTGAAAATCTGAAGAACTTTTCGCCAGTCCTCGTAAACACACTGCCTCATCTCTTCACACGTTACCTGCCTGAATGAAAGATCCCTATTCAATGGGAGACCACCAAAACCGTGATATTGTTCAGGAAAGGTGACCTCCACGATATCGGCAACTATCGCCCAATCTGCTCGCTGTCTGTCGTCTACAAACTTCTCACTCGAGTCATCCTAAACAGGATTGACAGAACACTGGACGAAGGACAGCCATGTGAACAAGTAGGTTTTCAAGAAGGATTTAGTACGATGGACCACATCAGCACGACGACTCACTGAACTATCGCGAGAGTACAAAAGACCGCTATGTCTCACTTTGATCGATTTGAAGAAGGCCTTTAACTCAACTGAGGTAAAAGCAGTCATGGTAGTGGAAATCGATGGTCGGCAATTACACTATCTTCGCTTTGCTAATGGCACCGTCCTTATAACACCAGACATTAGCCAACCGGAACGAAAGCTGGCCGACTTTGTAGAGCCCGTGGAAAGATTGGTCTTCGACTAAATCTTACAAAAACGATGTTTATCAGGAACGGATTGATTTCGTATGTCCCATTCACGCCCAACAGAACGAATATCTCCGAATGCTCCAGTTGTGTCTACCTAGATCGGGAATGACAAACGACTTAGCTCCGGAGTTTAGCAGAAAGAAAGGAGCGGCTTGAGGAGCTTTTCAAGAGCATCGAGGATGTAGTGAAGAGAACAAAAAATACCCGATTCCGTCCCCACCTTTTCGACTCAATGGTACTTCCTGCCCTAAGCTGTTGCTCAGAAACCTGATCGCTGCGTAAGCAGGATGAAAGGTCATCCAGTGTTGTCGAACGCGCTGTCGAAATGACGATGCTAGGAGTGTCCCGTTCCACACAAGTAAGGGATGGGATCCGAAGCTCCGAACTGCGTCAGCGATCAAAAATCAATGATGGCGTTCTGTACGCTAAGCAGTCGAAGATAAGGTGGGCCCGGCACGTAATGCGTCTGAACGACAGCTGATGGATAAGAGCCGTTAGTGACTGGATTTCTTGGGATGTTAATCCTCGTGTAAGCTCAACCATTTTGCATAGGTTGATTGCTTTATTAGCGAGATCAAATAATCGTCAATTTCAAAATTATTGTCCTGCTATTATTATAACTCTATCTGTCGCTTCAGTTCTTCATTTAAATGAATTTCTTTCTTCGTTTCCTCTCTCGAAACTCATCGACAACCAACGAACAGCCAGTGAATGGGGATCTGAAGCCGTGACTTTGCCCCTGCAAATCCGGAGCTTGGAATTAAAAATTTTTCTTTTGAAATTGTGTAAAAACTCGTCGGAGTCAAATAGAAATGGAAACAATCTTTAAAATTTTTCATATGAAAGTGAAAAAAGCATGCGGCGAAAACAATTGTTAATAGCAGCGTTCTTCACCACTCGATGGGTGTTTCCATCGCTTCATACTACGTTTTTATTACTAACTTTTCAATGATTTTCAGTTCAGCTCTCATAGGTAAACTTCTCGATCATTTAGCATACTGGAGCGTGCCAATCTCGTAGCGACTTGTGGATGCATGAGGTTGGACCAGAGTGGATCTAAGATGAATGCTGGGCTGTGGTTAGACTAGATAAAATGAGCCAAAAAGCAGGGAATTCGACTGGTGGCATACGTAAACCACCGTCCTCTAGACAGGACTGTCTTTATGGAGCTCCAGTGCCCGTCCGTTTGTGCAATTACTGAAAAATCATCGTAATCTAATTTAAATTTCGACTAGACTACTGGAACTAGTCTCTCTACCTGGTTTCTGTTTACTCTAGTATCGATACTTTTGATATGAAACTATTCATTTAATTATTATATCTCATATCTAAGTTGTGTAGCTTTTGTTTCTTGTAATGTGTGCGGAGACGAACATAATGGCGAAACGGGTAGACCACTCTGCATCCATATAAAAGAACAACTCGTCGATAAACTTAAAGTTAAACCAAATACTCCACTAAGTGCACACGGACACAGGGACAAAACGGGGAGGATTTTGAAGTAGAAATTACTATCCTCGTACAGGAATCGAAAACACAAGCGCGCAAAACTCTTGATGCGTTTCGGATAAACTCCGAGAATCCGAAAATGAACCGCAAGTAGGAATGACTCATAATCATGCGTCACATCAGACATTACCTAAGACTGTTATTCTGATGTGAGAGGCACATTACGGTTCCATGTGAAATCTGTGCGGTTGGCCTCCACGTGACATATTCAGTGCCAAACTCATAGAAAGCGGTGAGTGTGCAGAGCTGTGTTAAACGTGATTGAAATCTTAGTTTAGGATTTTCTCTGTTCGGTTATGGAAGTGTTTGGCGTGGTAGGTTGCCGTCAACTTGACCTCTCCAAGCTCTGAGGATAGCGAAATCCGCCGAAACACTAGCTTCATCGCAACAAAGAGTAGAACAACACCTCCTGTTTGCACAACAAGAATATAAATAATTAGTTTTGGCGTGTTTATTGCTTGCTATTCAAGTATGCTGTACAATTGCGGACGTCATTCTGCTATTGACGACCGTGAATTGAAGAGTTGGGTGGAAAGAAATACATGCGTAGATGTTCAAGAATATTCGGAAAAGCCAGCGTAAGTATCCTAGCTGTTTTAGGTGTCTAAAAAAGTTAGAAAGTTGGAGAAAGTGAACGAATTGATGCCATCGTCGTTTTGAGGTATCATCGTCGCTTTTTCTACTCGAACAGAGCGACCAGTTTCTCTACCGTATGGTGACGTGCGACAAGAAACGGATCTTTTATGATAACTGTCGACAATCGGCTCAGTGGTTTAGATCGCGATGAAGCTTCGCAGCAGGACTTCTTAAAGCCGGAATTGCACCAAAAGGAGATTATGTGGGCCTTTTGGTGACCTACAGATGCTCCAATCCATCAGAGCTTCCCACATCCGAGTGATTGTGGCGCAAAATTATGCCCAAGAAATCGATAAACTGCAGTCCACATCCACGATAACGTGTGACCGCACTTTGCAACGGTTAAAGTAGCTGAGCTACGAAACTCTGCCTCATCCGCCCGACATCCTGCCACCTACCGACTACCATTTTTCCATCCATTTCGACAACTACGTGTAAGCAAACTGCTTCAGTAACTAAGCCGAGACTGGAACTGCATTCAACGAATCCGTGTCGCCTCCAGAAGATTGGACTTTTTCGCAACTAGTGTAAGTTGTATATCGTTGGAAAGAAATGTGTAGGGACCAATGGCTTTTATTTAGACTAATGAAGTTTGTAATGAGCTGAGATATGCCATTTTAATATTCCAGGTTGAAATCGGAAATTAAATTTGGAAAGACCTTTTATATACATGCACATATATGCATATATATATATATATGTGCATACATGTATATATACGTATACACATATGATGGGACAACATATAAACGCATATAATATAAGAGAATGGGACAACATGGACGTTAAAATCAATGGTCGGCAATGATTCAGTTATTGCGTTGTTGAGTCTCATAACACCGCGAATTAGCCAGGTGGAATGAATGCTAGCCGGTCTCGGTAATCCCTGTGGGAAGCTTGTTCTTCGATCGATTCTTAGAAAAACGATGTTCATGAACAACGGATTAGCTTCATATGGCACATTCACACTCAACAAAATGGATATCTTCGAATGTCCTGGCTACGTCTATCTAGGTCGGGAAATCAACATGGTGAACGACTTCGCTCCAGAGTTTAGTAGGAGGAAACGAGAGGTTCGGAGAGCTTGCAAGAGCATCGAGGATATAGTGAGGAGAACAAAGAACATCCGACTCCGTGTCCATTTTTTCCACTCCACGATTCTTTCTGTCTCGAGGTATGCGTCAGAAACCTGCTCGACTGGATGTGTGAATAGTATGAAAGATCACTCGGCGTTATAGAACGCGCGGTCGAAAGGGCGACACTAGAATAGTCGTCCCACATCAAGCAGGTGAGGGAAGGAATTCGAAGCTCCGACACACGCCAGCGATTGGAAATCAAAAATTTCGTTCTATAGGCCAGATTGTGAGAGATAAGGTGGGCTGGACACGTAATACGTTTGAGCAACAACAAATGGACAAGAGCGGAAAGTGATTGGATTCCTCGAGATGTTAAACGTACACCGACTCGATAGTGAGAATTGTTCCTAGTAGAAAGATACAATGCTCAACGAGTCTCAGGAGAGAGCAGAAGCCACTGGACTACTCTTGCACGTGACGATGAGAAATAGGAAATTAACTGGCGTCCGCTCGAGACACTCGGGATTAACAAGACCATAGGTGGGTGATATAGATGATATTTAGCAGGCGCGTGCAGCGCACTTATTGTAGCTGCCCTTAAATCCAATACGTGGTCTTCATCCCTCTCGGTTGGAAAAACTAGTATCAAAATTCTCTGGAAGGATATTGGCATTAATCTGATACATCGGTAGCCCTGCTGCTAGTCCATTGTATTAACCATTCACATTCTACGATGCTAGGAATGCAGTCAAATGCGTGGAATGTTGATCAGATATTGCACAACGTTTTCTCCTTTATCCACTGTCTTCTCTGCACGTGGGTTAGTTCGCGTAGATGTGTCATAGTTTATCATTTTGCTCGTCTTTTAGCAGTTTGACCGAGAGAGTGAACAGCGTAAATTTGACCGTGGTTATCGATCGGAGAAGTGTTGGCAAACAAACAAGAAAGAAAGTGTTTGCGCAAACGTTTTTGCCTAGCGGTGGTCTAGTTGCTTCCGTTAGTGAACAGTCATGGCGAATTCGCTAAGGTTACCTGTAAGGTCAGTGCATTCTCGTATTCATGCGGAAAAATGTGATATAACGACGCTTGGACAACAGATAAAATTCCCTAATGGTCGCACAGCGCAGAATCGATTTCTTAAGGTTAGTTTGCTTTTTACTTCTTTCTCTCTTTTTCGTCCTGCTACAGTTCGTTACAACTTCTGTGGTCCTTATGGTCTTTCATTCCTAAGAATCATTCCAGCGATATCGATAATGAGTGACTATTGATTTTTCACTTTTAATGTACTTTCAGGAAAACCTACATAATTTCTATAGGATTCGTATTCGTTGAAATACTATACGGTTTACTAATTATTTTTAGGCGGCTCTAACGGAACGAATAAGCTCATGGGATCCAAAAGACCTTACAAAACGCGGCATTCCATCTCGATCGATCATAAATCTCTATGATAAGTGGGGACATGGTAGATTTGGAATGATCCTCACAGGAAATGTGTGCGTTGATCCGGTTTGTTTGAATTCCATCACTACATTTTTCGATCATTTTATAAAGTCATTAACTTGTTTCATATTTCAAAAAAAACGTAACTGTAATCCTCGAATCCTGGCGTGACTAGTCAATATGTGTTTCTTCAATGATAAACTAACACGGGTTTGATAAAGTGGTTTAGTTGCCTAACTCCATTAATTAGCTCAATCAAAGATTACATTAAGAGTTTCTAGTTACGTGAGGTACGACGGTGAGTAGTACTACGTTGAATTTTCCGCCTCACACACTGCGAATTTCAACCAGTTATTATCGAGTGACCTACACTTCAATCTGCGACCTCATACATGGTCTCATTAGCAACATTCTTTGCTACTATGTCAGGGTAGAGAAGGAAATTACTCACAGCAGGTATCATTCGAAACCCAGCGACATGTACTTTTCTCCCCAACGAAGGTCTCTGTAGCTTTACGAATGGACACGGGACACGGAACAAATGACGGAAAAGAAGATGAGTTGATACTAATTCACTTTGTCAATCTGCTCCTGCCATCGGTTGAAACGAACTCACGTCGAAATCGAAGTGCTAATTAGAGAAGCAAGGATACTGAGATATGAGCAGAGGTCGGAACCTCAGATGGATTTCAAACCCACAACTATTCATACCGGAGGCTCATGTGCTATTTACCATACCAATCGTGGTCCTCGCTATGCCTCTTGGTCGGCATTTGACTCTGTCAGTGCTATTAGCAAACACCCACCAACAGGATCAAGATATATATATATATGCATTTCTGTGATATATAATGATTATACGTATATATATATTTAAATAATGGTATCTCATAGCTCAGCATCTTTGTGGTTGCCTTTCACATCGTACCTTCCCATTAAGAACGGATAGACAGTAAATAAAAGTTAAGGGAATGTGATGTCTAAGTGTTAATGCTGGTTAATCCCAGTAGCTCTAATTCCTATCTCTGTTATAGTGTTATGACAACCGCTTCATCGATGTTAATCTTCCAACACGAAGGGCAATTATTCGTGGTAGGGCTTGTGAAGACAAAGAAACAGATCATGATAATTGCATTTTGGAACCTGTTACCCCCTTTTTAAACCAGTTAAGTACGAAATCTGTTATTAGAATCGTATCAGATTCATACAAGAGATATCGCAGAGAAAGTTTTTTGCAGTAAAAGAAACAATCGGGAAGAAATTGCTCGAAATCAGTGCAAATTTTCAAAGTGCGCGTCCATCTGAAACCAATGAACATTGTTGCGAATATGTTATGGGCTAAATATCTCATTCTTAGCAGTTGAATAAATTCAATGGTTTCTTTTGCAAAACTGCTCTTTTTTTGATCTACTGCTAGATACGACGCACCGCTTTTCACATGATGCTGTTTAACCCATTTTACGGTAATAAAGTGGGATTGACCTGGGGCAGACTTTGGCCTGGCTGACCTCGGGACTGTAGAGAACCACAATGGCTAAACCAGCAAAACTCTGAGAAAAAAAATGGAATTACGCTGGAGCCCGCACAACCAGTGAGGACGGGCCATCCAGACATCCAAGAATCCTCCGAGTAATAAATTGCGAGCACACTATCCGTTAATTGTTGCTTTCTAGAGTATGAATTTGAATGGTGATTGCTTGTCACCTATGTTTCCTTTGTAGATAAAGTTCATCATTTTAGAACAATCTTGAATCAGCCGGAAATGCAGTGTTTTGCAAAGAAAACGATTCTGCTGAACTCAGAAAAGTGTGCTTGGAATGGTCGAAAGTGATGCGTCAGGATGGGGCACTTGCCGTTGCACAACTCTCTCATGTAAGTCTTCTGTCAAACACCGAAAGCTACGATGTCGTTGCCCGCTGTCTCTTGTTCATGATTGCATTGTTTATGTTGTAAGTATAGATATGCATAGCATTGGAACCTTTAAAAGTCATCATAAAATAAACTTTAAAATGATGGAACAATCACAGCTTTTTTTCTTCTTAGGCAGGACGGCAAACACCGGAGACAGTCAATCCGCATCCGTTCTCTTGTTCTGACGTACAACTGATGGCGAAACGACGTTTCATGGGATTTGGAAAACCGATAGCGCTTACTGAAGAGCAGATTAAGACTGAAGTGGTTGACCGCTTTGTATATGCTGCTAAATTCGCTTATGAACAAGGTTGCTTTTGCTGATATCCGCTAATCAACGAAGCAGATTTAAGATCTACCTTAATTTCAACTTTTATCTACCTTTTATCGAGAATTTCTGAACTTAAGAACTAGGTGTTATATTAACTAATTGGTTTCATGGCAATTTAGCCTAGTACGATCTTTATTCATTTTATGATTTGATGGTGTTCAACTCCATGCCGCACATGGATATTTGTTGTCTCAGTTCATGTCGCCGACAACGAACAAACGCACCGACATGTATGGTGGATCTGTGAGGAACAGAATGAGAGTGATCATTGAGATATTTGAGGCTATAAGGTTTACATCTGAACTCCTTTTGAACTAATATTTAATTAGCAGTTAAGTTGCATCTGCGTTTTGCGAAATCGGGCTTCGTTTAGAAGGGAGATAGACGTGTCCACGGGTTTTCTCGTCGGAATCAAAGCAAACTCTGTGGAATTTCAAGAAGATGGTCTGGGCATAGATGATGCTAAAATTATGTGTGGAATGATGGAAGTAAGTGCACTTTTAGAACAGAGTCCGAATTTCTGATGACTTTGGTTGAAATGCAGTAGATAATTTTTATTGGAGGAGTTGGGAACAATTTCTGGTCGATCGTAGTAGAAGCGCTGTTCTTCTTATAGGAATGTGGCTTTGATTTTGTTGAGCTTTCTGGTGGAACAATAGAACAGCTAGCTTTCCAACATATGAGAGAATCGACGAGAAAACGCGAGGCGTTCTTCCTTGATTTTGCTGAGAAGGTAGCCTACTTCTTTTTATATGTTGGCAAAGTCTTAAACGAGGCATTTAAGTCTTATCTGTTGTAATTTTTTTTAGCAACACATCAAATTCGGGAATTTTTCTCTTGGTATTCCAAGATTTTCTGGTCGAAGTGCAAGTCTGGTTAATTTAAAGTTTAGATTCGCCCAGTCTTTAAAAGGACAGTTGTATACGTGACCGGTGGTTGGCGAACTGCGCGTGCTATGGTGAGAGCCGTGATGGATGGCACAACGCACGGCATAGGACTTGGAAGGCCGATTACAGCGGAACCAGGTAGTTTAAGGTTTACTGTAAATAAGCGGCCGATATGTCTAATAAGGTGGGAAAACGGCAACATTTCCAGATCTACCGGCAAAAATACTTCGCGGAGAATGTTATTCAGCTGCAGACACAAAGCTGAATCAGGATGACTTCGGAATTACATCGACAGCCAGTAACACTCAAATGGGGCAAATGGGAAAGCGACCCTATGTGGAACTTGATAGGTAGGTAACCTATCGATGCATTGGTATAAGTTCATAAATTCGACACGAACACCAAATTGGTCTTGAACTCTAAATTTTAGGTGAGTTTACAATTTTTTTCTCGTATAAATAATCTGAACAATGATCAACATGGTTTTCATGTAACACTGCTATTTCCTGGGTATATTAATGGCTTTGTCTCTAGATCTCATGAGAAACTTAGCACTTCTTCTATTCGTTTCTTTGTCTTACACATGTACATCCATGGAGGCCGTCGGCTTTGGTTGTGAACGTGGCTTTTGCTTTAAGATTTTCTCACTTTTTGTTCTTCAGTAATGCTAAGTGCTGCTATGGCATGCTCCTCCTAAAATTCCGAGATTTGTATTCCAGGTTGTTTCTAGTGCTTCTTAACCAGCAGACAGTAGTGGTCGTTACAATACAACCACAATGACTTCTTATTTCTCTTAAATCCAAATAACCTTATATTTAAAGTATGTCGTTTTCAGTATAACCGACGACGTTGCCGACCTTAGCCATCCTGATGAAGCAGAAAACTTCAAAGAAGCTGCTTCTAAATACTTTGAGGCGATTTCAGAGATCGCAAAAAGACATGAAGCTATACATGGTGTGATGGAATACACGAATTTAGTGTCGTAGATATATAACTGTGAATCTAGTCTAGTTCATAAAATTTGTGTTATTTGCTGACGAACAAATTTCTTCTTTTTCTGTACTAACAGATGTGTGAAACGGTATTTCACCTACCAACAATTGTAAGATCGAAGAATTGCTGTACAACGGGCCAAAAACTTATAATTTGCTCCTATTTGAGTCCTAGGTGGGTGAAGAACGCAAATCGCAACGGAATTGTTGGGAAAGACGTCTCTGAGAAGCCGACATTTCAGCTGTGAATGAAGAGATTTGCGTTAAAAAGGTCAGATTTTAATCCTAAAATAACGAAAACCTGAAAAAAGCTTTAAGAGTGATGTCGTTCTGTGACCGACACGATAATTAAGATATTAGCAAGATATCGGAGGAGTAAGTGTAATAGACGGAGCTCGTGTAGCGCAGTGGTCAGAGGTGCTTTGCAATACCAATGAGATTGATCCCGTTCTCCAGACTCTATTCCTCTAGGTCGGCAAATTGGTACCGGACCTTCCTAGGAGGATCACATCATTGACTTAATACATCGGAAGGTCACCGCGAGTCGATATAAAGGCCAAATATGCATTCAATCACCTCTAACGATACTTAATGCGGTGAAGTGCATGGTGCATCTCTCAGGATTGATCGAATACCGAGAGCTTTATTCTTTTATTCTTTTTTAAACGTGAATTCTAAGTCGAAGTCATGGTCAAATAATATTGAAAGCAGATGACGTGGAATTTCGGTTGGAATTTGGAATGACGTCTAATTGAGGACTTTGGAAACTGGTTAGCATTGTGCATGGGAAGTGATGTTTCATTCCAAGACCAAAATTTGGCATCAATTGCAAATACGGGAGATTGACATTAGCCATATACACTCCTGCCCATAGACTTTCGGCTCATAAGAACGGTCTCTCTTGATACTAACTCCATGTCGTGGATGACTCCTTCATTCCTCTTCTTCTGTCCTAAAATTTTCTAAGCATGTGGTTGCACATAATCTGTGTCCCAGATTTCTACTTATTAAAGTACAGTACAGTATATATATTTTATATATGTATTCCTTGGTTTTCGTGAAAAAGGTGATCACCTGCTCGGTGGTCTTCCTGCTGTACGTTTGACATCTCAAGGAATCCAGATACTAATGGCTCTTGTCCATTGGTTGAAGTTCAAACGCATTATATGCCTAGTTCAGTCCACCTTATTTTTGATAATTTGACATATAGAATGGCGTCTTTGGTTTTTGGTTGCTGACGCATTTCGGAGCGTTGAATTCCTGCACCCACTTGCTTGATGCGGGAGACTCCTAACATCGTCCTTTCGACTCCGCGTTGAATAATGCTGAATGTTCTTTCGTCCTTTCTACGTAGCGAGCAGGTTTCTGACGCATACGTTAAGGAAGGGAGAATCGTGAAGTCGAAAAAGTGGACACGGGGACGGGTGTTCTTTGTTTTTCTCACTACATCCTCGATGGTCTTGAAAGCTCCCCAAGATGCTCCTTTCGTGGCACTCAAGTGTGGAGCAAAGTCGCTCGACATGTCGATCTGTAGAGCTAGATAGACGTAGCGGGAGCATTCAAAGGAATTCGCTCCCTTGAACGTCACGTGGCATACGAAACAAATCCGCTCCTCATGATCGTCGTTTTTGTGAGATTTAATCGAAGAACAATCTTTCTACATGATCAAGCCTGAGTTTTCGTAAAGAGTTGAGATGTCCGTATTAAAGTGTTCCTAAAACTTATCCTCTATTCTTGAACATTTACTACTATTAGCGACTTTTGGAAGGCAAGATGTTCTAACCATACAGATTTATCGTGTGCCAGTGAAATCACATCTCTGAAGCAAATGCTGAGAGTCATTAAAAAGTTACTGGTCTCTCGATTCAATTCAGATTATGGCGTCGCTGTTGAACCAGCAGAAAGAGAACATTAACCTGGCTTCTGGAATGTCGTCTCTCGGGATTCCAAGACCTCAGCCGTCTATGATTAACATATTGGTTGGTTCGCTTGAATTTCGACGAATTTTGGACTACCTGGTGATGCTCCACACTTTGTGGCGAGGTTCCCACTTTTCCAGGGTATGATGGGGTTGCAGCAGCGTTTGCTCCTACAACAACCAGCATATAGTCTTGTCGCTCCATTGACTCAGCAGATCACTTCACCTCCTCAAGCACATTCCGCTCCCAATATGGAGCCGAAACCGATCGTTGGCGATGCTGAGCAAAATGTAGGTTCCGGTTTTGAACATAATTAAAACATAAGTGAAATTTACACGAATTGAAGGTAGGGGTAGGGTTCTGCTTAAACTTCGTAGTGCTAAAGGGATGCCAAATGTTTCGACCTTTATGAGCCAGTAAATTTCGAAGTAGTCTGGTTTTCTAGAGTTTCCTTCTTGAACAGTTTTTGAGTGAAAGTAGTAGTATTATGTTAAATGCTGTTGATACAAAAATTTTAAATAAAGCAACCCAATACTTGAAGCCTCGTTGGTTTTGTAAATACAATACGATTTTGGCGACATTTCTCAGTGAAGTTTATGATGGTAGATTGATAACGTCTTAGGTATTGAAAATGGTGGGCGTTGCAGTGCATTTGAATTTGTAATGATTGAATAAATTAAACAGCTATCCCATTGTTCGCGAATGACACGATTTGTTCAGTGAATCCTTTCAAAAAGGGAGTTGTTGTAGTTTCCACCAGTGAAATGCGACCTGCCGGCTCCAGTGGCAGTGAAGCCGGCCGTTGTCACGACGCC